TGACTTTTGGGCAAGGGCTCAAGCGGATATTGTTTATTTTGTAGCTATTTAGTAGGAGATCTGAATACTGAAAAGATAGTAAACTTAACCTTGAGGACTTTTTCCAAAGTTCGTGAACAAGACCAGCACATTATCAAAGAGAACATTAGAAAGACTTTGAACAGCCAGTTTCTCAGACAACTAGTACGTTCTCTGGGGGCTTATTTTTTCTTATATTCCTTTCTCAGAGAGTCTTCTTCAGCTTGATCATCTTCTCTTTCATACTGGCTACATGTCAAGGAGCTTGCATGTTGGATCCCTTTAAAGTCAAGTTTGAAGATGGTAACCAAGCTCCTTATTCATCTGAGCAAATAATTATTTTCTGGCTTGCAAAAGTCTCGGAATGCCAGGACAAATGTTGCTTGCTTAATTTCTACAACCCAGGTTTCCATCAAAAGCCTCCTATCTAGGCCAGAAAAGACCTTCTGTATTAATACAGAAGTCCTTGATAATCAGGTGTCCTTACAAATCTAATAATTAAGAAAATTAAATTTGTATTGTATGCAGCAAGTGCAGATAATTAATAACCTTGTCACGTTTGTCCAACAGTAGATTTCTCATAGCAGCTTTCAAATTAGGAAGTGCTTTCTCAGTACAGTTTGGTGATTTGGGTGCAGCTGCAGGTTCAACTGGAGTCTTTTCTCTTAGGTAAAGTGGTGAAGCCAAACACATGCGTTGATCCCTTTGATCGGACAAGGCATCTCCTTGGGTCCACCTGGAATACAGCTCATTGTTTGAGATGCGAGTGCCACAGAGACGGGATGTCGTGCTGCACCAGGTAAGAAAAGGTTCCAGGCAGGCACTGGTTATGTTAATTTGCACATGTTTTCTCTTAAGTTAAGCCAGATATGTTTATTGAGAAAGCACATATTCATGGACCCAGATACCTAGATAAACCTTCTATGAAGGTTTTTCAGTAGATGGTAATTATATTTCATGATAATCATCCATGGCTAATGTATGTTAGCATGTGATCTATTTCTCTCTGGCGTGGGAACTTTTGAGAGGTTCAGCCATATGTTTATCTTTCCAAGTATGAGGAAGAAGCATTATGTGGAGACCCAGGATTGTTGGGTGAAATAGGGAATAGAGGATCTGCGGTTGGGAGGGAGCAGGATTTGTCCCCTGCTTTCCTTCCTTTCTCTTGCCTGCTCAGTACTGAGGAATACATGTGTTGTGGTTTTGTCCCTCCTGCTGGGCATATTTGCATGTCTGCAACAAGCTCATTATGCTTATACAATGAAACATAGGGGCATCCAAAATCAATTCTCTGGGCATGTCAATCTTGAGATTTCTCCATGCATAGGAGGATTTCCAAGACCTGGGTTTTGGAATCAAGCAAAGCCTTGGGTGAATCAACCTTTGTCCCTGGATGTTTCAATAGTTCTGTTCAAGTTCCAGAGTGGCAGATGATATTAGGGGTCTTTAGAAGATCTCAAGTAAGGTGAACTTTGACCACAACCTCTTCTTCTTCCTCCTTCTCCCCCTCCCCCCCCTTTTTTTCCTTTAAAGACCTGCTGGTATTGAAGGAAGAGCAGGATGCAAAGGAGTGGTAAAT